CCACACCCACACCCACACCCACACCCCACATCCACACCCACCCACACTCACACCCACACCCCGAAATTCATGAAGCCGAAGCTCCCTACGAGACATCTTTATTTCTAATTCGAGATCAACATCTATATCCATAGTTTTGTTGTTCTTCGAAAGATTTCAGAAGAATTTGTATCTCGAAAGGTCTAAATATTATCGATAGAACTCATTGAGATTTTGGAAATTTCCTCTCAAAAAAGTTTCATAGTTATGTTAAAAGTTGATGGAAATAGTTCATAATACCTCTGTACTTCTGTACTCAAATAATTCACGATTAACTCTTCTGTTGTTAACAATTTATACAATGAACGAATTTATTAAAAACTGATACGTTAATAATATGTACATTTCAGCTTATCATGATTAATCTTTTCAAGCATGGTTTTCGATAAAAAGTACAAAATGTTAGAGAAGCGATTAGTAATTTATATAATTTTATTATAGTCGAGGATACGTATAGTTCTGTGACATTTTCATATATGGTCTTCTTTTCTAATTATAGCAATTGTGTAATGAATTTGTTTTGCACAATAATATGAATTTTTATTTAGAAAGCATAAATATCTGGCGATCTTTGTTGATGATGTTGTGAGCGTTCAAAATTTTCGTCTGTGTCTCTTTTATTAGAGTCATTTGTTTCGGCTGAAACTTTCTCTCCATGCATCAACTTAGATAAATAACTTTTTATATTAATTCGTTTCTTCCATGCAAATAATAATAATGATAAAATACTAATTATTCCAAAAATTAGAAATAATCCATATATTGCTTCAATGCTAATATTACTTGATTGTTGAACGGGATCGGGACATATCTTTGTTTGAAACCATTTTATTTTTAGCTTATTAAGTTCACCTAATTCTGTTAATGATAGAATAGCCACATCTAAATCTTGTGTATATATCCAATCCTGAGGAATAACAATACTGTATGTATTTTGATTAAAACCATTTCCAATTATAGTTAAGTTACAATATATATTATTCGTGTAATATTCAGCACTACTACTATCAATAATAGATGCATCAGCTAAACCTGATGCTACACTGCTGCACAATTCTTCCTCAGAGTGTACTGGATAATAAGTTCGAGCACCATTAGATACTTCTCTTAAATAATATTCTTCATGAGATGATTGTACTAAAATACCGATACGATTAAGTGGTATTTTTCCATTTTTGATATCTTCAATTCCAGAAATAATACCAGTTGTTTTTGCTATTGTTAGTTCAGATGCTAAATTTGCAGTATACGATGCTACTAATATCAAACCTAAGATATATAAACCAGCAGTTAATAAACGTCCTGGAGATGTATATACATTAAAATCCACACCATATCCAATAACATTACCAAAACAATACCATATACTCATTACAATTTGAGACAATATTGATCGATTTTCTAATACTTCATTATTATGTCTTTCCAAGAACCACATTATCATACCAGCATAGATTAAAGTACCTAACGCTACTAACCAAAGATTAAGTGCAAATGGTTTCAAGAATGCAAACAGACCAACACTAATATAAGGT